CAATCATTGTACTGTCTAAACAATCATTGTAAACTAGATACCTGTACTGTCATCACTAACAATCATTGTAAACTAGATACCTGTACTGTCATCACTAACAATCATTGTAAACTATATAGATACCTGTACTGTCATCACTAACAATCATTGTAAACTAGATACCTGTACTGTCATCACTAACAATCATTGTAAACTAGATACCTGTACTGTCATCACTAACAATCATTGTAAACAATAGGAAACTTGATACCTGTACTGTCATCACTAACAATCATTGTAAACTAGATACCTGTACTGTCATCACTAACAATCATTGTAAACTAGATACCTGTACTGTCATCACTAACAATCATTGTAAACTTGATACCTGTACTGTCATCACTAACAATCATTGTAAACTAGATACCTGTACTGTCATCACTAACAATCATTGTAAACTAGATACCTGTACTGTCATCACTAACAATCATTGTAAACTAGATACCTGTACTGTCATCACTAACAATCATTGTAAACTAGATACCTGTACTGTCATCACTAACAATCATTGTAAACTAGATACCTGTACTGTCATCACTAACAATCATTGTAAACTAGATACCTGTACTGTCATCACTAACAATCATTGTAAACAATGTACTGTCATCACTAACAATACCTGTACTGTCATCACTAACAATCATTGTAAACTAGATACCTGTACTGTCATCACTAACAATCATTGTAAACAATAGGAAATTAGATACCTGTACTGTCATCACTAACAATCATTGTAAACTAGATACCTGTACTGTCATCACTAACAATCATTGTAAACTAGATACCTGTACTGTCATCACTAACAATCATTGTAAACTAGATACCTGTACTGTCATCACTAACAATCATTGTAAACTAGATACCTGTACTGTCATCACTAACAATCATTGTAAACTAGATACCTGTACTGTCATCACTAACAATCATTGTAAACTAGATACCTGTACTGTCATCACTAACAATCATTGTAAACTAGATACCTGTACTGTCATCACTAACAATCATTGTAAACTAGATACCTGTACTGTCATCACTAACAATCATTGTAAACTAGATACCTGTACTGTCATCACTAACAATCATTGTAAACTAGATACCTGTACTGTCATCACTAACAATCATTGTAAACAATCATTGTAAACTAGATACCTGTACTGTCATCACTAACAATCATTGTAAACAATAGAAACTACCTGTACTGTCATCACTAACAATCATTGTAAACTAGATACCTGTACTGTCATCACTAACAATCATTGTAAACAATAGAAACTACCTGTACTGTCATCACTAACAATCATTGTAAACTAGATACCTGTACTGTCATCACTAACAATCATAGTAAACTAGATACCTCTACTGTCATCAAGAACAATCATTGTAAACTAGATACCTGTACTGTCATCACTAACAATCATTGTAAACTAGATACCTGTACTGTCATCACTAACAATCATTGTAAACTAGATACCTGTACTGTCATCACTAACAATCATTGTAAACTAGATACCTGTACTGTCATCACTAACAATCATTGTAAACTAGTAAACAATAGTAAACTAGATACCTGTACTGTCATCACTAACAATCATTGTAAACTAGTTACCTGTACTGTCATCACTAACAATCATTGTAAACTAGATACCTGTACTGTCATCACTAACAATCATTGTAAACTAGATACCTGTACTGTCATCACTAACAATCATTGTAAACTAGATACCTGTACTGTCATCACTAACAATCATTGTAAACTAGATACCTGTACTGTCATCACTAACAATCATTGTAAACTAGATACCTGTACTGTCATCACTAACAATCATTGTAAACAATAGGAAACTAGATACCTGTACTGTCATCACTAACAATCATTGTAAACAATAGGAAACTAGATACCTGTACTGTCATCACTAACAATCATTGTAAACTAGATACCTGTACTGTCATCACTAACAATCATTGTAAACTAGATACCTGTACTGTCATCACTAACAATCATTGTAAACTGTACCTGTACTGTCATCACTAACAATCATTGTAAACTAGATACCTGTACTGTCATCACTAACAATCATTGTAAACTAGATACCTGTACTGTCATCACTAACAATCATTGTAAACTAGATACCTGTACTGTTATCACTAACAATCACTGTAAACAATAGGAAACTTGATACCTGTACTGTCATCACTAACAATCATTGTAAACTAGATACCTGTACTGTCATCACTAACAATCATTGTAAACTAGATACCTGTACTGTCATCACTAACAATCATTGTAAACTAGATACCTGTACTGTCATCACTAACAATCATTGTAAACTAGATACCTGTACTGTCATCACTAACAATCATTGTAAACAATATGAAACTAGATACCTGTACTGTCATCACTAACAATCATTGTAAACTAGATACCTGTACTGTCATCACTAACAATCATTGTAAACTAGATACCTGTACTGTCATCACTAACAATCATTGTAAACAATAGGAAACTAGATACCTGTACTGTCATCACTAACAATCATTGTAAAATAGATACCTGTACTGTCTCCACTAACAATCATTGTAAACTTGATACCTGTACTGTCATCACTAACAATCATTGTAAACAATAGGAAACTAGATACCTGTACTGTCATCACTAACAATCATTGTAAACAATAGACTGTCATCACTAACAATCATTGTAAACTAGATACCTGTACTGTCATCACTAACAATCATTGTAAACTAGATACCTGTACTGTCATCACTAACAATCATTGTAAACTAGATACCTGTACTGTCATCACTAACAATCATTGTAAACTAGATACCTGTACTGTCATCACTAACAATCACTGTAAACAATAGGAAACTAGATACCTGTACTGTCATCACTAACAATCATTGTAAACTAAATACCTGTACTGTTATCACTAACAATCATTGTAAACTTGATACCTGTACTGTCATCACTATACATATCATTCATTGTAACTAGATACCTGTTCATTGTAAACAATAGGAAACTAGATAGATACCTGTACTGTCATCACTAACAATCATTGTTGAAACAATATATTCTAACAGTGCATTAAACTAGATACCTGTACTGTCATCATTGTAACAATCAATCCCTAAGTGGAGATCACTAACAAATTGTAAATGACTGCTGTTTTTTTAATAAAGATAAGAAAACACTATGTCCCCCAAGAGCCAATGATGTATTGAAATAATGGAATAAAGCAAGTGGTTATCAGAATATGGTTTTATATAATCTATCCTCCAATTGAATTTTACCAGGAAATGTATATTCAACACGTGACAAGTATTATCTACGGTAGGTAGGTTATACGATCATACTCACAAAATTAAAAATGTTGAAATATTGATTTAAACTGTCACAAACATGAACACTGACTAGGATATGTTCAAGTTGAACAAGTTCAGAGGTTTGTTATGCCTATGGGCGAAACAATAGATACTAAAGAGATATTTCCAACATAACTGTGAGATTTTCTTTTCTTTGTAATTTCTTCCAAAAACAAATAAAAATGGGCTGCATTTAGAAATAATGACTACTCCCTGTCCTCCATTATATACAGATAATGACTACTCCCTGTCCTCCATTATTTAGAAATAATGACTACTACCTGTCCTCCATTATTTAGAGATGATGATTTCTCCCGGTCCTTCATTATATACAGATAATGACTACTCCCTGTCCTCCATTATTTAGAGACGATGATTTCTCCCTGTCCTCCATTATTAACAGATAATGACTACTCCCTGTCCTCCATTATATAAAGATAATGACTGCTCCCTTTCCTCCATTATTTAGAGATGATGGTTTCTCCTGGTCCTCCATTATTTAAAGATAATGACAACTCCCTGTCCTCAATTATTAAGTAATAATGACTACTCCCCTGTCATCCATTATTTAAAGATAATGATTGTTCCCTGTCCTCCATAATATAAAGATAATCCCTGCTCCCTGTTTCTTTATTATATACAGATAATGTCTGCTCCCTGCCCATCATTATTTAGAGATAATAATTAATCCCTGTCCTCCATAATATAAAGATAATAACAGCTCCCTGTCTTCGATTATATAAAGATAATGACTACTCACTGTTTCTCCATTATTTAGAGATAATAACTTCTTCCTGTCCTCCATTATTTAGAGATAATAACTACTCCCTGTCTCCATTATATACAGATAATGACTGCTCCCTGTCCTCCATTATTTAGCGATAATGACTTCTACCTGTCCTCAATTATTTTGAGATAATGACTACTCCCTGTCCTCCATTATTTAGAGATAATGACTTCTCCCTGTCCTCCACTATTTTGAGATGACGATATCTCACTACCCCTCCATTTTACAAAGACAATGACTACTCAATGTCCCTGCCCACCCCCCCCCCCCCCATTCTAAAAGATAAGGAATACTGCTATAAATAGACAACATCAGATGACAGCTATATATAGAAACCATCAGATGATAGCTATATATAGACAACATCAGATGACAGCTATATATAGACACCATTAGATGATAGCTATAAATAGACAACATCAGATGACAGCTATATATAGACACCATCAGATGATAGCTATATATAGACACCATCAGATGACAGCTATATGTAGACACCGTCAGATGATAGCTATATATAGACACCGTCAGATGACAGCTATATGTAGACACCATCAGATGATAGCTATATATAGACACCATCAGATGACAGCTATATATAGACACCATTAGATGACAGCTATATACAGACAACATCAGATGACAGCTATATATAGACACTGTCAGATGACAGCTATATGTAGACACCATCAGATGATAGCTATATATAGACACCATTAGATGACAGCTATATACAGACACCATCAGATGATAGCTATTTATAGACACCATCAGATGACAGCTATATATAGACACCATCAGATGATAGCTATATATAGACACTATCATGTGGCAGTTGGTTGTTGGTTAATGAATACTTGCAAATGTGAAGAACCTGATTGATTTCATCCTTGATAATTACCTCATCGTAGAACAGAAATGCGTTCTGCAGGTGAAATTTCATTTGGTCCAAAAATTCTTTCCTTTCATTAAAGGACACAGTCTGTAAACATAATTAAGAATGAGGTTTACGACAAAAAATTCTTCACTAAAACAGAGGTAAACGGTCATTACTGGTCAAGGTTAGGATCAGTACTGGTCCAGGTTAGGGTCAGTACTGGTCCAGGTTAGGTATGGTCTATTATTGTATACTCACTTGAAAATACATTCAAAAGAAGATCTAAAACATAGTAGAAAGTTCATAGCTCACCATTAGGTAGAATTTTACCATGATGAGCCAAAACTAGTAAAAATTGGTCACCAAGATATAAAAGTATATTGCCAACTTAACTTATCTGTGTTTCCCCTTGCCTTTTGAAACTGGAGATACCCCTAACTATGTTTCTATATAGGAGAGTGATTGAAAACTAGGGGTACATGTCTTGAAGTTCACCAATTTGGTGGGAGTAGGGGGTTTTGTACTCTCATTTAGGGGTGACTGGAGCACTGCTTGTGAAGCTTGTTACATTCAGGGGTGATGGGGACACCGCTTGTAAGCCTTGTTACATTCAGGGGTGATGGGTGCACTGCTTGTAAGCCTTGTTACATTCAAGGGTGATGGGGACACCGCTTGTAAGCCTTGTTACATTCAAGGGTGATGGGGGCACCACTTGTGAAGCTTGTTACATTCAGGGGTGATGGGGGCACCGCTTGTGAAGCTTGTTACATTCAGGGGTGATGGGGGCACTGCTTGTGAAGTTTGTTACATTCAGGGGTGATGGGGGCACTGCTTGTGAAGCTTGTTACATTCAGGGGTGATGGGGACACCGCTTGTAAGCCTTGTTACATTCAGGGGTGATGGGGGCACTGCTTGTGAAGCTTGTTACATTCAGGGGTGATGGGGGCACCACTTGTAAGCCTTGTTACATTCAGGGGTGATGGGGACACCACTTGTAAGCCTTGTTACATTCAGGGGTGATGGGGGCACTGCATGTGAAGCTTGTTACATTCAGGGGTGATGGGGGCACCGCTTGTAAGCCTTGTTACATTCAGGGGTGATGGGGGCACTGCTTGTAAGCCTTGTGATGGGGACACCGCTTGTAAGCCTTGTTACATTCAGGGGTGATGGGGGCACTGCATGTGAAGCTTGTTACATTCAGGGGTGATGGGGGCACTGCATGTGAAGCTTGTTACATTCAGGGGTGATGGGGGCACTGCTTGTAAGCCTTGTTACACTTAGGGGTGATGGGGGCACCGCTTGTGAAGCTTGTTACATTCAGGGGTGATGGGGGCACCACTTGTAAGCCTTGTTACATTCAGGGGTGATGGGGACACCGCTTGTTTGTTACATTCAGGGGTGATGGGGGCACTTGTTACATTCAGGGGTGCTTGTTACATTCAGGGGTGATGGGGGCAGCATTCAGTGATGGGGGCAGCTTGTTACATTCAGGGGTGATGGGGACACCGCTTGTAAGCCTTGTTACATTCAGGGGTGATGGGGGCTTGTAAGCCTTGTTACATTCAGGGGTGATGGGGACACCGCTTGTAAGCCTTGTTACATTCAGGGGTGATGGGGGCACCGCTTGTAAGCCTTGCTTGTAAGCCTTGTTACATTCAGGGGTGATGGGGACACCGCTTGTAAGCCTTGTTACATTCAGGGGTGATGGGGGCACTGCTTGTAAGCCTTGTTACATTCAGGGGTGATGGGGACACCGCTTGTAAGCCTTGTTACATTCAGGGGTGATGGGGGCACCGCTTGTAAGCCTTGTTACATTCAGGGGTGATGGGGACACCGCTTGTAAGCCTTGTTACATTCAGGGGTGATGGGGACACCGCTTGTAAGCCTTGTTACATTCAGGGGTGATGGGGGCACTGCTTGTAAGCCTTGTTACATTCAGGGGTGATGGGGGCACTGCTTGTAAGCCTTGTTACATTCAGGGGTGATGGGGGCAAGCCTTGTTACATTCAGTGATGGGGGCACTTGTAAGCCTTGTTACATTCAGGGGTGATGGGGGCACCGCTTGTAAGCCTTGCTTGTAAGCCTTGTTACATTCAGGGGTGATGGGGGCACTGCATGTGAAGCTTGTTACATTCAGGGGTGATGGGGGCACCACTTGTAAGCCTTGTTACATTCAGGGGTGATGGGGACACCGCTTGTAAGCCTTGTTACATTCAGGGGTGATGGGGGCACCGCTTGTAAGCCTTGTTACATTCAGGGGTGATGGGGGCACTGCTTGTAAGCCTTGTTACATTCAGGGGTGATGGGGGCACTGCTTGTTAGCCTTGTTACATTCACGGGTGATGGGGGCACTGCTTGTAAGCCTTGTTACATTCAGGGGTGATGGGGGCACCGCTTGTAAGCCTTGTTACATTCAGGGGTGATGGGGGCACCGCTTGTAAGCCTTGTTACATTCAGGGGTGATGGGGGCACTGCTTGTAAGCCTTGTTACATTCAGGGGTGATGGGGGCACTGCATGTGAAGCTTGTTACATTCAGGGGTGATGGGGGCACTGCTTGTAAGCCTTGTTACATTCAGGGGTGATGGAGGCACTGCTTGTAAGCCTTGTTACACTTAGGGGTGATGGGGCACTGCTTGTGAAGCTTGTTACATTCAGGGGTGATGGGGGCACCACTTGTAAGCCTTGTTACATTCAGGGGTGATGGGGGCACTGCTTGTAAGCCTTGTTACATTCAGGGGTGATGGGGGCACTGCTTGTAAGCCTTGTTACATTCAGGGGTGATGGGGGCACCTTGCATTGTGAAGCTTGTTGTTACATTCAGGGGTGATGGGGACACCGCTTGTGAAGCTTGTTACATTCAGGGGTGATGGGGGCACTGCTTGTGAAGCCTTGTTACATTCAGGGGTGATGGGGGCACTGCTTGTGAAGCTTGTTACATTCAGGGGTGATGGGGGCACTGCTTGTGAAGCTTGTTACATTCAGGGGTGATGGGGGCACTGCTTGTGAAGCTTGTTACATTCAGGGGTGATGGGGGCACCGCTTGTAAGCCTTGTTACATTCAGGGGTGATGGGGACACCGCTTGTAAGCCTTGTTACATTCAGGGGTGATGGGGGCACTGCTTGTAAGCCTTGTTACATTCAGGGGTGATGGGGGCACCGCTTGTAAGCCTTGTTACATTCAGGGGTGATGGGGGCACTGCATGTGAAGCTTGTTACATTCAGGGGTGATGGGGGCACTGCTTGTGAAGCTTGTTACATTCAGGGGTGATGGGGGCACTGCTTGTGAAGTTTGTTACATTCAGGGGTGATGGGGGCACTGCTTGTGAAGTTTGTTACATTCAGGGGTGATGGGGGCACTGCTTGTGAAGTTTGTTACATTCAGGGGTGATGGGGGCACTGCTTGTGAAGCTTGTTACATTCAGGGGTGATGGGGGTTACATTCAGGGGTGATGGGGACACCGCTTGTAAGCCTTGTTACATTCAGGGGTGATGGGGGCACTGCTTGTGAAGCTTGTTACATTCAGGGGTGATGGGGACACCGCTTGTAAGCCTTGTTACATTCAGGGGTGATGGGGGCACTGCTTGTGAAGCTCGTTACATTCAGGGGTGATGGGGGCACTGCTTGTGAAGCTCGTTACATTCAGGGGTGATGGGGGCACTGCTTCCTATGGAATTGTTCTACATAACAAGATGCCCACAAGGCCTTAATGGTCATCTGACTACAAAAACTTTCAGCAGGGTTATTTTTTCTACTTTGAATGAAATCTTACTAAGAAGCTGTTTTCCATGATGTAGGTGGTAGTTTTGGTGAAGAGTAGGAAACTGAAACAAGTGTTACCTATTTTTTGACAGTAAAATTGGAACTCAATCCTACTGGTGAAACTTGAGAAGGTTTGAAATAGGTGTTTCACAGGAAAACCATGATTGCAAAATCATGTAACAAAATGGCCTCCCTGGCCGTTATGTCAAAGTTTTGACAAGGTTAAAATTCAAAAACACTTTATTGGCCACCTTTCCTAAACATTCCAACCAAATTTTAGCTAAAAAAAGGCACCAGCTGAACTGGAGAAGAAGATTAAAATATGTTTTTCAAGATGGTGGCAATGGTAGCCATCTTCGATTTCAGACATATCTGAAACACTTGATCAGGACCATCTCAGGATTATTTCATGTAAGTTAGAGCTCAATCACACCGATGGAACTTGAGAAGATGTTTAAAATGTCTAACAGACACACCTATGGACCAAGAGGAACCTATATATATGAAATTTGAGAAAGATCTATACAGTACTTCTGAAGAAATAATGATATCAAACTTGTGGGCCATTTTGTTTTTCTGAATGCTTAATCAAATGGGCAAAACTAGGGACAAAGAGGAACCTCTATGTGAAATTTCAGAAAGATCCATCCAGTGCTTTTGAGGAAATAGTGATAACAACCTTTCAAAGTCAAAATCCAAGATGGCCACCTGTCAGCCATTTTGTTTTTCTGATCAGTCCCAAAATTAAATGGGCACAACTAAGAACCAAAAGGAACCTAGACATGAAATTTGAGAAAGATCTATACAGTAATTTTGAAGAAATGGCGATAACAAACTTCATTGTAAAAAATCCAAGATGGCCACCTGTTGTACATTTTGTTTTTCTGATCAGTTCCAAAATCAAATGGGCTCAACTACGGACCAAGAGGAACCTACATATGCAATTTGAGAAAGATTCTTCAGACGGACGACGGACCATGGACGCAGAGTGATTTGAATAGCCTCCCACCCCCCTTCATCCTCTATAATCAAGTGCTTACACTCACTTTGGCTCTCTGCCTCCCTGGAACATTTCAAGGCAAAATTAAAGGCACAAACCAAGTCATTTGATTAGTCTAGAATGGGTTTCTAGAGAAAAAAAACTGATCAGTTAAAAAGGAGTGACACCCAACTTCAAAGCCAGTACAACATACCACTATGCAATCTCAAGATTTGTTTGAAGTCAATGGATTAGTCTATTCTTTTTGTCTTATCCACAAAGTGTCACTCACACAACCTTCCATGTTACTACGACAGGGGTGCTGAGAGTGAAAGCGAGCCTAACATCCAGAGTATTGAGCATGGTTCCAGGGGTGCTGAGAGTGAAAGCGAGCCTAACATCCAGAGTATTGAGCATGGTTCCAGGGGTGCTGAGAGTGAAAGCGAGCCTAACATCCAGAGTATTGAGCATGGTTCCAGGGGTGCTGAGAGTGAAAGCGAGCCTAACATCCAGAGTATTGAGCATGGTTCCAGGAGTGCCGAGAGTGAAAGCGAGCCTAACATCCAGAGTATTGAGCATGGTTCCAGGGGTGCCGAGAGTGAAAGCGAGCCTAACATCCAGAGTATTGAGCATGGTTCCAGGAGTGCCGAGAGTGAAAGCGAGCCTAACATCCAGAGTATTGGGCATGGTTCCAGGGGTGCCGAGAGTGAAAGCGAGCCTAACCTCCGGAGTATTGGGCATGGTTCCAGGGGTTCTGAGAGTGAAAGAAAGCGTAACCCCTGGAGTATTGAGGATGGTTCCAGCAGTGCAGAGAGTGAAAGAGAGCGTAACCCCTGGAGTATCGAGGGTGGTTCCTGGGGTGCAGAGAGTGAAAGCGAGCCTAACCCCTGGAGTATCAAGGATGGTTCCAGGGGTGCAGAGAGTGAAAGTGAGTCTAACCCCTGGAGTATCCAGGATGGTTCCAAGGGTTGTAGTGAGGGAAAGTGATCGTAACTCCTGGAGTATCGAGGATGGTTCCAGGGGTGTAGAGAGTGAAAGTGAGTCTAACCCCTGGAGTATCGAGAATGGTTCCAGGGGTGCAGAGAGTGAAAGTGAGTCTAACCCCTGGAGTATCAAGGATGGTTCCAGGGGTGCAGAGAGTGAAAGTGAGTCTAACCCCTGGAGTATCAAGGATGGTTCCAGGGGTGCAGAGAGTGAAAGTGAGTCTAACCCCTGGAGTATCCAGGATGGTTCCAGGGGTGCAGAGAGTGAAAGTGAGTCTAACCCCTGGAGTATCGAGGATGGTTCCAGGGGTGCAGAGAGTGAAAGTGAGTCTAACCCCTGGAGTATCGAGGATGGTTCCAGGGGTGCAGAGAGTGAAAGTGAGTCTAACCCCTGGAGTATCGAGAATGGTTCCAGGGGTGCAGAGAGTGAAAGTGAGTCTAACCCCTGGAGTATCGAGGATGGTTCCAGGGGTGCAGAGAGTGAAAGTGAGTCTAACCCCTGGAGTATCGAGGATGGTTCCAGGGGTGCAGAGATTGAAAGTGAGTCTAACCCCTGGAGTATCGAGGATGGTTCCAGGGATACAGAGAGTGAAAGTGAGTCTAACCCCTGGAGTATCGAGGATGGTTCCAGGGGTGCAGAGAGTGAAAGTGAGTCTAACCCCTGGAGTATCGAGGATGGTTCCAGGGGTGCAGAGAGTGAAAGTGAGTCTAACCCCTGGAGTATCGAGGATGGTTCCAGGGGTGCAGAGAGTGAAAGTGAGTCTAACCCCTGGAGTATCGAGGATGGTTCCAGGGGTGCAGAGAGTGAAAGCGAGCCTAATCCCTGGAGTATCGAGGATGGTTCCAGGGGGACAGAGAGTGAAAGTGAGTCTAACCCCTGGAGTATCGAGGATGGTTCCAGGGGTGCAGAGAGTGAAAGTGAGTCTAACCCCTGGAGTATCAAGGATGGTTCCAGGGGTATCAAGCATGAATATACCTCTACTTCTTTCATTCGTAATTCCGTATCCTTCCACATCAAAGAGACAAGAACATTTCGGAAGTATCTCCCCTCTACGCCTTCAAAACTCAGGCGTGTTAAGATGATCCTGTCCAAAATACAAAAAGATTTTTATTTATTATCTTTAATGACATATGAATGGTTTTCAAATCAAACTTTTTCAATCATAAAAAGATGTGAATTTTTAAAAGTTTTAATACAGCTGATATTTTAGTATTTAAATCAAGTCTATGCTAAACTAAACAGCTGATTGTTAAACTCAAGCCTGTAACCAAACCTGTAACTATTGTAGTCTTGCCACCAATCGAGGCTTCATCAGGACACTTACATACTGTCTTGAAGATGCCTCGACCGCACATGAAACTAATCGACAATAAAGTTTAACTAAACACTAACTGGTGATACTTGAAATTTGTTGTGACAATAAATCTAACCACACAATAACTGGTGACACTTGAAATTTATTGCAATTGAATCCTTACCCTTCCTATATGTATATAAGTTGTCAATCGCCCTGCATACCTCTAGGTATCCAAGTGAAGTACCCCACTGAAAACCACACTTACCTTGTCACTTACACCAAAATATACAATGCTCTAAACACACAACGCATTTACAGAAATAAAAGAAAAAACTTGTTGTCAACAATTGCCAAAAAGTGCCAGAATGAAGAATTGACAGGAAAGTCCTAACAGTGTTACAATACATTTTATCCAGCATCAACCATATCTCTATGGAGAGAGTTTTCAAACATGATACCAAATCATTCCTGAAAACTCACCTCACTGTTACTCAGCATTAATGTTACAGCCAAGCATTATACTGGAGTAATCGTACACCGAGTGCAGTAATCGTATCACCGAGTGGTGAAATCGTATCACCAAGTGCAGTAATCGTATCACCAAGTGCAGTAATCGTATCACCGAGTGGTGAAATCGTATCACCAAGTGCAGTAATCGTATCACAGAGTGGTGAAATCGTATCACCAAGTGGTGAAATCGTATCACCAAGTGCAGTAATCGTATCACCAAGTGCAGTAATCGTATCACCAAGTGGTGAAATCGTATCACCGAGTGGTGAAATCGTATCACCAAGTGCAGTAATCGTATCACCAAGTGCAGTAATCGTATCACCAAGTGGTGAAATCGTATCACCAAGTGCAGTAATCGTAACAACGAGTGGAGTTATCGTATCACCAAGTGCAGTAATTGTATCACCAAGTGCAGTAATCGTATCACCGAGTGGTGAAATCGTATCACCAAGTGCAGTAATCGTAACACCGAGTGGAGTAATCGTATCACCAAGTGCAGTAATCGTATCACCAAGTTCAGTAATCATATCACCAAGTGCAGTAATCGTATCACCAAGTGCAGTAATCGTACACCGAGTGAAGTAATTGTATCACCGAGTGGTGAAATCGTATCACCAAGTGGTGAAATCGTATCACCAAGTGCAGTAATCGTATCACCGAGTGGTGAAATCGTATCACCAAGTGCAGTAATCGTATCACCAAGTGCAGTAATCGTATCACTGAGTGGTGAAATCGTATCACCAAGTGCAGTAATCGTATCACCAAGTGCAGTAATCGTATCACTGAGTGGTGAAATCGTATCACCAAGTACAGTAATCGTATCACCAAGTGCAGTAATCGTATCACTGAGTGGTGAAATCGTATCACCAAGTGCAGTAATCGTATCACCAAGTGCAGTAATTGTATCACTGAGTGGTGAAATCGTATCACCAAGTGCAGTAATCGTATCACCAAGTGCAGTAATCGTAACACCGAGTGGAGTAATCGTATCACCAAGTGCAGTAATCGAATCACCAAGTGGAGGAATCGTATCAGCAGGTGCAGTAATCATATCACCAAGTGCAGTAATCATATCACCAAGTGCAGTAATCATATCACCAAGTGCAGTAATCGTATCACCAAGTGCAGTAATCGTACACCGAGTGAAGTAATCGTATCACTGAGTGGTGAAATCGTATCACCAAGTGCAGTAATCGTATCACCAAGTGCAGTAATCGTATCACCAAGTTCAGTAATCATATCACCAAGTGCAGTAATCGTATCACCAAGTGCAGTAATCGTACACCGAGTGCAATAATCGTATCACCGAGTGGTGAAATCGTATCACCAAGTGCAGTAATCGTATCACCAAGTGCAGTAATCGTATCACCAAGTGGGTTAATCTTATCACCAAGTGGTTTAATCATATCACCAAGTGGGTTAATCGTATCACCAAGAGGTGTAATCGTATCACCGAGTGCAGTAATCGTATCACCAAGTGGGTTAATCGTATCACCAAGAGGTGTAATCGTATCACCGAGTGCAGTAATGGTATCACCAAGTGCAGTACTTGTATCACCAAGTGGAGTAATCGTATCACCATGTGCAGTAATCGTATCACCGAGTGCAGTAATCGTATCACAAAGTGCAGTAATCGTATCACCAAGTGCAGTAATGGTATCACCAAGTGCAGTAATCATATCTCCAAGTGCAGTAATCGCAGTACTCATATATCCAAGAGGTGTAATCATATCACCAAGAGGAGGAATCATCCTTCCATTCAAATGAAGGAATCATCCTACCATTCTACAGGAAGAATCATCCTACCAAATTCATCTAGAAGAATCACCCTATCATTCATCCCACCAAATTCAAGTGGAAGAATAATCCTACCACTGTTCTAATCAAATGTGGCAAGAGTTCATTTCCCTAAGCAGATGGGTTTTTTTCTGGGGTAATTGTCTTGAATCACTTGGTCACCCAGAGGTAGGGGACTAGAGATAAAGATGGTCTTGAATCACTTGGTCACCCAAAGGTGGGGGACTAGAGATAAAGATGGTCTTTAATCACTTGGTCACCCAGAGGTGGGGAACTAGAGATAGAGATGGTCTTTAACCACTTGGTCACCCAGAGGTGGGGGACTAGAGATAAAGATGGTCTTTAATCACTTGGCCATTCTGAGGTAGGGGACTAGAGATAAAGATGGTCTTTAATCACTTGGTCACCCAGAGGTGGGGAACTAGAGATAAAGATGGTCTTTAACCACTTGGTCACCCAGAGGTGGGGGACTAGAGATAAAGATGGTCTTTAATCACTTGGCCATTCTGAGGTAGGGGACTAGAGATAAAGATGGTCTTTAATCACTTGGTCACCCAGAGGTGGGGGACTATAGATAAAGATGGTCTTTAATCACTTGGTCACCTAGAGGTGGGGGACTAGAGATAAGGATGGTCTTTAATCACTTGGTCACCCAGAGGTGGGGACTAGAGATAAAGATGGTCTTTAATCACTTGGTCACCCAGAGGTGGGGGACTAGAGATAAAGATGGTCTTTAATCACTTGGTCACCCAGAGGTGGGGAACTAGAGATAAAGATGGTCTTGAATCACTTGGTCATTGCATACCCCAGATATATGTATTTGAAGTTGATCAGATAGTATAAATATGAACATAGTTAATGACTAGATTAATATATCAAAGACGTTTAATTTGTGTATTTATCTTTTGTTTGACTTACCATAAATGTAGTTCATTGATGAGAAACCAAGTATTAAACGTATCAGGCAGATCAAGAACTGAAGAAAACAGAAACAATGGGATTCATGAGAAGTAGCTAATCATATTACACTGTTATCTAACCTAGATCTCTACTGTAGGTAGTCAGTTACCTGTTATCTAACATAGATCTCTACTGTAGCTAGTCAGTAACCTGTTATCTAACATAGATCTCTACTGTAGCTAGTCAGTAACCTGTTATCTAGCATAGATCTCTACTGTAGGTAGTCAATAACCTGTTATCTAACATAGATCTCTACTGTAGCTAGTCAGTAACCTGTTATATAACATAGATCTCTACTGTAGGTAGTCAGTAACCTGTTATCTAACATAGATCTCTACTGTAGGTAGTCAATAACCTGTTATCTAACATAGATCTCTACTGTAGCTAGTCAGTAACCTGTTATCTAGCATAGATCTCTACTGTAGGTAGTCAATAACCTGTTATCTAACATAGATATCTACTGTAGGTAGTCAGTTACCTGTTATCTAACATAGATCTCTACTGTAGGTAGTCAGTAACCTGTTATCTAACATAGATCTCTACTGTAGCTAGTCAGTAACCTGTTATCTAACATAGATCTCTACTGTAGGTAGTCAGTAACCTGTTATCTAACATAGATCTCTACTGTAGGTAGTCAGTTACCTGTTATCTAACATAGATCTCTACTGTAGGTAGTCAATAACCTGTTATCTAACATAGATCTCTACTGTAGCTAGTCAGTAACAATTACCTCTTATCTAACATAGATCTCTAATGTAGCTAGTCAGTAACCTGTTATCTAACATAGAACTCTACTGTAGGTAGCCAGTAAGCTGTTATATAACATAGATCTCTACTGTAGCTAGTCAGTAACCTGTTATCTAGCATAGATCTCTACTGTAGGTAGTCAGTAACTTGTTATCTAGCATAGATCTCTACTGTAGGTAGTCAATAACCTGTTATCGAACATACATCTCTACTGAAGGCAGTCAGTAACCTGTTATCTAACATAGATCTCTGCTGTAGGTAGTCAGTAACCTGTTATCTAACATAGATCTCTACTGTAGGTAGTCAGTAACCTGTTATCTAACATAGATCTCTACTGTAGGTAGTCAGTAACCTGTTATCTAGCATAGATCTCTACTGTAGGTAGTCAGTAACCTGTTATCTAGCATAGATCTCTACTGTAGGTAGTCAGTAACCTGTTATCTAACATAGATCTCTACTGTAGGTAGTCAGTAACCTGTTATCTAACATAGGTCTCTACTGTAGGTAGTCAGTAACCTGTTATCTAACATAGATCTCTACTGTAGCTAGTCAGTAACCTGTTATCTAGCATAGATCTCTACTGTAGGTAGTCAATAACCTGTTATCTAACATAGATATCTACTGTAGGTAGTCAGTTACCTGTTATCTAACATAGATCTCTACTGTAGGTAGTCAGTAACCTGTTATCTAACATAGATCTCTACTGTAGGTAGTCAGTAACCTGTTATCTAACATAGATCTCTACTGTAGGTAGTCAGTAACATGTTATCTAACATAGATCTCTACTGTAGGTAGTCAGTAACCTGTTATCTAACATAGATCTCTACTGTAGGTAGTCAATAACCTGTTATCTAACATAGATATCTACTGTAGGTAGTCAGTTACCTGTTATCTAACATAGATCTCTACTGTAGGTAGTCAGTAACCTGTTATCTAACATAGATCTTTACTGTAGGTAGTCAGTTACCTGTTATCTAACATAGATCTCTACTGTAGGTAGTCAGTAACATGTTATCTAACATAGATCTCTACTGTAGGTAGTCAATTACCTGTTATCTAACATAGATCTCTACTGTAGGTAGTCAGTAACCTGTTATCTAACATAGATCTCTACCGTAAGTAGTCAATAACCTGTTATCTAACATAGATCTCTACTGTAGGTAGTCAGTTACCTGTTATCTAACATAGATATCTACTTTAGGTAGTCAGTAACATGTTATCTAACATAGATCTCTACTGTAGGTAGTCAGTAACCTGTTATCTAACATAGGTCTCTACTGTAGGTAGTCAGTAACATGTTATCTAACATAGATCTCTACTGTAGGTAGTCAGTAACCTGTTATCTAACATAGGTCTCTACTGTAGGTAGTCAGTAACCTGTTATCTAACAATATCTACCTGTTATCTAACATAGATCTCTACTGTAGGTAGTCAGTAACCTGTTATCTAACATAGATCTCTACTGTAGGTAGTCAATAACCTGTTATCTAACATAGATATCTACTGTAGGTAGACAATAACATGTTATCTAACATAGATCTCTACTGTAGCTAGTCAGTTACCTGTTATCTAACATAGATATCTACTTTAGGTAGTCAGTAACATGTTATCTAACATAGATCTCTACTGTAGGTAGTCAGTTACCTGTTATCTAACATAGATCTCTACTGTAGGTAGTCAATAACCTGTTATCTAACATAGATATCTACTGTAGGTAGTCAATAACATGTTATCTAACATAGATCTCTACTGTAGGTAGTCAGTTACCTGTTATCTAACATAGATCTCTACTGTAGGTAGTCAGTAACCTGTTATCTAACATAGATCTCTACTGTAGGTAGTTGGTAACAATTACCTGTTATCTAACATAGATCTCTACTGTAGGTAGTTGGTAACAATTACCTGTTATCTAACATAGATCTCTACTGTAGGTAGTCTGTTATCTAACATAGATCTCTACTGTAGGTAGTTGGTAACAATTACCTGTTATATAACATAGATCTCTACTGTAGGTAGTCAGTAACCTGTTATCTAACATAGATCTCTACTGTAGCTAGTCAGTTACCTGTTCTCTAACATAGATCTCTACTGTAAGTAGTCAATAACCTGTTATCTAACATAGATATCTACTGTAGGTAGTCAATAACCTGTTATCTAACATAGATCTACTGTAGGTAGTCAGTAACCTGTTATCTAACATAGGTCTCTACTGTAGGTAGTCAGTAACATGTTATCTAACATAGATATCTACTGTAGGTAGTCAGTAACCTGTTATCTAACATAGATCTCTACTGTAGGTAGTCAGTAACCTGTTATCTAACATAGATCTCTACTGTAGGTAGTCAGTTATCTAACATAGATCTCTACTCTAACATGTTATCTAACATAGATCTCTACTGTAGGTAGTCAATTACCTGTTATCTAACATAGATCTCTACTGTAGGCAGTCAGTAACCTGTTATCTAACATAGATCTCTACTGTAGGTAGTCAGTAACCTGTTATCTAACATAGATCTCTACTGTAGGTAGTTGTTAACAATTACCTGTTATCTAACATAGATCTCTACTGTAGGTAGTTGGTAACAATAACCTGTTATCTAACATAGATCTCTACTGTAGGTAGTCAGTAACATGTTATCTAACATAGATCTCTACTGTAGGTAGTCAGTAACCTGTTATCTAACATAGATCTCTACTGTAGGTAGTCAGTAACTGTAGGTAGTCAGTAACATGTTATCTAACATAGATCTCTACTGTAGGTAGTCAGTAACATGTTATCTAACATAGGTCTCTACTGTAGGTAGTTGGTAACAATTACCTGTTATATAACATAGATCTCTACTGTAGGTAGTTGGTAACAATAACCTGTTATCTAACATAGATCTCTACTGTAGGTAGTCAGTAACATGTTATCTAACATAGATCTCTACTGTAGGTAGTCAGTAACATGTTATCTAACATAGGTCTCTACTGTAGGTAGTTGGTAACAATTACCTGTTATATAACATAGATCTCTACTGTAGGTAGTTGGTAACAATTACCTGTTATATAACATAGATCTCTACTGTAGGTAGTCAGTAACCTGTTATCTAACATAGATCTCTACTGTAGGTAGTCAATTACCTGTAACATAGATCTCTACTGTAGGTAGTCAGTAACCTGTTATCTAACATAGATCTCTACTGTAGGTAGTCAATAACCTGTTATCTAACATAGATCTCTACTGTAGGTATCTAACATAGATCTCTACTGTAAGTAGTCAATAACCTGTTATCTAACATAGATCTCTACTGTAGGTAGTCAATAACCTGTTATCTAACATAGATCTTTGCTGTAGGTAGTCAGTAACCTGTTATATAACATAGATCTCTACTGTAGGTAGTCAGTAACCTGTTATCTAACATAGATATCTACTGTAGGTAGTCAATAACATGTTATCTAACATAGATCTCTACTGTAGGTAGTCAATTACCTGTTATCTAACATAGATCTCTACTGAAGGCAGTCAGTAACCTGTTATCTAACATAGATCTCTACTGTAGGTAGTTGGTAACAATTACCTGTTATCTAACATAGATCTCTACTGTAGGTAGTTGGTAACAATTACCTGTTATCTAACATAGATCTCTACTGTAGGTAGTTGGTGACAATTACCTGTTATCTAACATAGATCTCTACTGTAGGTAGTTGGTAACAATTACCTGTTATCTAACATAGATCTCTACTGTAGGTAGTCAGTAACCTGTTATCTAACATAGATCTCTACTGTAGGTAGTCAATAACCTGTTATCTAACATAGATCTCTACTGTAGGTAGTCAGTAACCTGTTATCTAGCATAGATCTCTACTGTAGGTAGTCAGTAACTTGTTATCTAGCATAGATCTCTACTGTAGGTAGTCAATAACCTGTTATCTAACATAGATCTCTACTGTAGGTAGTCAGTAACCTGTTATCTAACATAGATCTCTACTGTAGGTAGTTCGTGACAATTACCTGTTATCTAACATAGATCTCTACTGTAGGTAGTTGGTAACAATTACCTGTTATCTAACATAGATCTCTACTGTAGGTAGTAAATTATCTCTTTTTTCTATTTTATTTGATACTTTCAGTTTTACTTTTGATTGTATTGCAGGAATATAGTACATTGTACACACTTACTTTCACAAAATGCATCATGATCTACGAGTTCTGTGATACATAACCATGATCTGTAAGCTGATAGTTCTAACTTCTGAAAAACGAAGAAAAAGATTTATCAGTTGCCATTGATTAAATTCTGTCAACAAACGAAACATGAATTGTATTGGTAAATGTACTTGATTCTGCACAAACTAGTTACTCGATTGGAAGGTCTTAAATTAAAAAATTAGGGTAATTTGAAAAAAATATGAGCTTCACTTTATCATATTACACCAGGCAACCATGAATGTTGATTGTCCTCTATAGAAATTTTTCTTTACTGACTTTTACAACAAATTAAATTCTATTCATGTTCTTTCAACTTAAGGAAGCAAGTATTAGCTCATATCATGAAAGAATTCTTACCTTATAAGATACTCTTAAATCCCTGTCAAATCCTAAAGTATGTTTGATTTTTCTAAAAAATGAAATGTCTTTGAAAGCTTTGGTTTCTTGAGTTGTTTTTTTTTCCTCTGTCTGAAATATCAACAAATAAAAACAAGCATGTTAGATTTCTTAGTCATATTCTGGAAACTCGTGTTGTTTTATTAGTAAATGTATATACCAAGTTTATCATAAAACAAACAGAATGTCTCGTAATAAGCCCACCCATAACAATTGCTATTCATAAATATTGTTCAAAAATGCTATTTCAATATCCTATCACAAGGTTTCTGAATTTTTGTTAAGAACAAAAACAAGAAGAAAATACTGCTATGTAAACTGAATTAAAATCCAATAAAACTAAGACAAAATATAAAACAAATGGTTTCAGTACGGAGAAGGCTTATTTTTTTCTATTTTGAATGAAATCTTACTAAGAAGCTGTTTTCAATGATGCAAATGGTAGTTTTGGTGAGGAGTAGGCAACTGTAACAAGTGTTACCTATTTTTTGACAGTAAAGTTTGAGCTCAGTCTAACTGGTGAAACTTGAGAAATTTGAAATAGGTGTTGCAATCATGTTTTGACAAGGTAAAAAATCCCAACACTTGTTGGCTACCTTTCCTTAACCTTTCCACCATTTTTAGCTCAATGACAACAGTGGAACAGGAGAAGTGTATAATGTTTTTCAAGATGGTGGCCATCTTGGATTTCAAACCGACCTGAAAAATGACAACACATGGTCAGGATCATATCAGACAAGTTTGAGTTCAATCCTAGGGAGTGAAACTTAAGAAGTTTGAAATAGGTGCTGCACAGGAAAACTATGATAGTGCAATTATGTTACAAAATGGCCTCCATGGCCGCCATGTTGAAGCTGTGATAAGGTTAAAAGATAACAACACTTTGTTGGCTACCTTTTCTTAACATTCCCACCAATTTTTAGCTCAATGGCACCAGTGGAAGTTGAAAAGAAGTTTAAAATTTGATTTTGGTGGCCAAGGCAGCCATCTTGTATTTCAGACATACCCAAAAAATAATAACATTTGGTCAGGACTATCTCAGAATCACTTTATAAAAGCTCAATTCCACTGTTGGAACTCAAGAAGAAGTTTAAAATGTAAAAAAAAATATGCATGGCAGACGGTGGATGAAGTACAGTGGCTATACGTCATCTTTGGGTCAGATGACCTAAAAAGAAAGATTTACACATACACTCCTGAAAAATTAATAGATTAAGACCAGGTGTTTCATAAGAGCAAGGGTCTTCTGCTTCTTCAACAACATCTGCCATGTAAATCTTGGTCAATCCAAGAAAGTAATTCTCAATTGAGAACAAGGCATACAACAACAGAATCAACAATGCAAACTAATAAGCATCAGAAGTTAAATATAAAACTTTCCATTAATATCTCTTCTTGATTCATGTCATTTGCTGAAGTTGATTCTCCTGGTCTTTGTTTTTTTTTGTTTTTGTTTTTGATTTTTTCCATTTTTCCACCAGCATATTTTTGCATTGTTACACTCTGAACATTTTGGTTGCCAGTATGATATATGATTAAGATACAATATTTAAAAAAAAAAAAGCAATTTGCTGGGGAAGCAAAAATTAAAGTTTTGGAGAGAACTGCAATTATTTAAGAACTTAATATCACCAATCTTGTATACACAAAGAAGGCTTGTAGCATATCATATACAGGAATGTCTATCATTAAAAACAAGTAATTATTACCTTTATGATATTTGTTGAACAGCTGACGACAGGAAGATGCAACGGGATTCTCTGTAAAATCGGACTGCTTATCTGGCTTTTGTGACTGTTAATCTGGTTTTTTTAAAATACAAATGTTAATTTGTGAATCATTAACTTATGTCTCTGATTAATTCTGGGTTGATGATCACAATAAGGAAACAAAAAAATTTTACATAATCTGAAAAGCAATTTGACACAATTTTCTTACAAATTACAGTGAAATTTTAAACAACACTGATACAAAAAGCTACATACAAAAGTATATGTAACCTGGGTAGTGGGTGGAGGATGAGGGGGAGGGCAGCAGATCACCTGAGAATTAGTGATGATGTAACCATTTAAAACATGCCAATCATCAAATTTGTATTTTCAACAATATTACTGTGTACTATCAGGGCCTATTCTCATATTTAATAAAACAGGGCACAGGGCTAGTCTATTAAATATTTAGAACTTTTTTTCAACCGACCAACTTGTGTATGTTCTTAACAAACTGAACTTTAGGATTTTTCTGATAGGGTCAAGAGCCTATGTAAAATTAAAGCTTTCTACATTTATTCAATATAATTCTGAGAACAGTTAACATCTACACCTGTATTCTTGAAACTAGAATTTTTGTAATGATGTCTATGATTTCACAACACTTTTGTCATGAGGACAGCATGCATCACCACAGCTAGTTAAAGAGGCCAAGCTAAACATGATCTGTAGGTACATTATTGCACTTCCATGTAATTTTCAAATTAAAATTTTTCCCCATCAATATGTTTATCTATCTCTTAATCTTATACAAAGGTTTCCCTTTTCCCTTGGCAAATTGAGACTGATCAGAAAAACAAAATGGCTGACAGGTGGCATGGCCATCTTAGATTTGGCAATGAAAGTTTGTTATTGCCATTTCTGAAATAGTATATGATAGATCTTTCTCAAGTTTCATAACTGTAAGGAGGGAAATGAGGGGGCCAGGTACATATACTATACTTTTAATCGTAAAATCTGAACTGTTCAGAAAAACAAAATGGCACACTTTTAAATTTGACTTTGAATTTTGTGCATTATTAATATTGTGAATTTAAAAAAAAAAAATCTGCTCAATTTACCTTCAGTTACAAATGAAACACCTGAGTACAGTGTTCTTTAGGTCTATTGTACACATGTCTTGTTCTATTAATAACAACTGATATGTGACAATCACTATAGATATACATGTAGTTTGTACACTGTTATAATATCAGGACTATTTCTAAAAGAATTACCTATATATATTGAAAGAATGTCAGACTCCTGTGCCCTGCCGCCATGATATTGTATATTGCATAAAACATTTATTTCTGTTTATAAAAATTTGTTCTAAAATGGCAATTCGTATCACAAACTTTGTTCTCCATTGACTACAGTGTATAAAGTGCAATTACAAATAATCTGAGTTCCCTAACAATCTGAGGTGAGCCGAGATTTTGGTGGAAGTGTCATCAAGGTTCAGTGCAAGTGTAGCAGTTTAGTGCAAATATCACAGGTGAACATGAATTTACATGTACCAGTATTATCCTTTTTAAATGCAGGGCACGACCCCTCATAAGGTAAGCAGTCCCACATTTGAGGGACTGTTACCAAATATATTCAAATTATATTCAAATGCGCAGTCATTCTGAAATAAAAATAATTATAATAATAAAAATATCTAGTTGTTTTAAAAAAAATGGTAACAGAAAGGATCGTCACCTTTTTAACATGGTCCAATAACCAATGCATCACTGTACAACTTTACAAAAAAAGGGTTATTCATCATGTTGTCTCGCTCGAATGCAGGACTAATACCCATATGAGGGGTTTGTACCGAACCTGTTTTAGTCACACTTTCTAAGTAGTGGACACAGGAAAGTGATGAGTTAAGTCATTTCTACAGAAAGCAATACAACTGAATTATTCATTGTTTGTGTTAACAGGGCCTTATCAAAAGTATAACTCCATTTTCGTCGCAATTTTTTTGAAGTGGAAAATAAGTATTAATTCATTATTTTATAACAATGTTTAGGTAACTGGTAGAAGTTTGGTTATGCAAACAGTCACACAATGTAAAGTTAACAACGTGAAAATAATTAATTAAATTGCAAACCTGGAGTCCATTTTTAATGGAATTGTAGCAGGCACATCTACATGTTCTCACCAAAATTCGCGTGCTTATCATGATGTTCCAGCGCTTACGTAAACTAACCAGCTTGACATTGGATATTGTATGTGAACATGTGTACTTAGCTCTCTACAGTGGAGGTAGATTTGTTCTATAGATCGCTTAAGTACAAAAAAACTATTATTGTTTATGTTACAAAAAGTCGGTGAGTCGAATTCACTGCAAAGGTAATTTATTATAACAAAATAATCTTATTATCTGCCATTAAATATTTAATCATCATAAATATTTTTCTTTGTCATAAGGGACATGTTTTGAACCTTGACCTGACACACTTAAAAACCCAAACAAATGTTCCCTGCGGAGGAAACAGAATTTTGATACATTTTTGCTTATCCGATAGGTAATATTTGGTAAGTTCTTTGTTTTGCACCAAACGTTCACTAGGTCTCAAGAGCTTGAAACCTTCACAGTAACTCTGTCTAGCGGCAAATGTTCAGCCGATTCACTTCTGGTTTCTGGCAGAGAGCATTTTAAAAAAGTCCATGCTTTTAACGCATTTTCTGGTGCACAGAGGATTTTTCTTTCCTGGACGCAGACACGTTGACGCACAGGTAATTTATGAAATGCTCTGAAAAAAATGATCGTACAAATAATACCACTTTCTTATTCTCAGTCTTACACTTACAGATACATACCTGCGGTATCCAGATGTTTCGCACCAAAGACCGTTCGCCCCAAGACTTTTCGCACCCAAGACCTTTCGCCCCGGACCGTTCGCACCATAGATCCCATAGCCAACAAAACAAACATTCATTGAACAGGAGGGGGTACCATACATCTGACCGCTAGTTTGTGTTTGATTTATTTCCTTGTCTTGCATTCAAGATTCAGCCATGTCTGCACCAACTTAGTTGATAACTTCCACTTCCTATGTAATGGCCGTCATATGACTTGAACTTGTGACTTTGATCACCGCGTGGTCGACATTGTATGGAATGACTCCTTGATAACGGACATAGTAGTTGCAGTAAATGACCTGTATGCTCAAACTGACCAGTGTAGTCACAGTACATTTATCGAAGCAGACGAGGGATAAAAAAGACCTTCAAATGTGTCGGCCTATATCACCATCGGTATAGAGGGTACGGTTTTAAATGAACAAATACGAACAAAGACAGTCAGCAGAACTGTTATGGTTTATTAAAATTGACATTTCAATCTCAAATTCCATATCAATCCATCATCAATGTATTCCAGCACTAGAATCTATTCAAATAAGAATCACACAAACAATAATTCACACACATACACACTGTCACAATACAAACACTAGTTTCCATGCGCACTAAAATTACACTTTTCTCAGTGTCACAGTACGAATAAACATCTCGGAGCACCCGGAGCACAACACAACCTCAAAGAGCATACAGTCTCCCACATGCCTTCAAAAGTTGGCTCACCGTTATCTTGTCCGACTCATAATTGTCCCACACTTCAAACAACTTCCCCAGTATGTAAAAATTAATATAAAATAATGAATGATACACCTACCTGTGCCGCATGTACGATGGTTCCACCAATCACACAAGTCGCACTGTATTGCATGCTGCCACGGTCGTACAATCCGTCTACAAGTGATGCAGTTGTCGTCAGCCATGGTCAATGACACGATGATAATTTGACAAGAACATGTCCATTTTTATGTACGTCATGTTGTTACAGTAACAAAAGACAAAGTCTCAACACCTTTCCTCTTGAGATGTCTCAACACCTTTCCTCTTGAGATGTCTCAACACCTTTCCTCTTGAGATGTCTCAACACCTTTCCTCTTGAGATGTTTTGATTCCGATCAGTGTTCGCGGATGCATGTTTCGTCAGGATCCTGGACTGTTGTTTCATACCCAAGCGAAGCCCTATAACGGTCTCAGCATTGTTGATCGTTAACAATTCAGTGAGGTTTTCATTAATTACAACCTAAATAAACAATCAATGATTTTTTGTTTGATGGTGCGAACGGTCTTAGCCTATGGTGTGAACGGTCCGTGGGTAAAAAATGGATGGTGCGAAAATGACAACATGGGGGCTAAAGGTCTTGGGGTGAACAGACTTTGGTGCGAAACATCAGGTATTCATACCTGCTACCAATGACACAAATACTCAATATTCCCACACACACAGTGGAACTCTTTACCAGTAGCAACAGTACAAAGCACTACACTAGAAATCTTCCAATTGCAAATTCACAGCAAAACCCATGAAGACCTCGAACCCAATCCCTAGACACTATTGTTTTTATCCACTTTTATAAAATTATCTCTGTAAATAATTATCATGTCTCACCACAGTCCCTCGAGGCAAATGTCAACTATCACCTTTTTTGTAAGTTTTTGAAAGAATTGTATAGTTTATTCAGAAGAAAACACACTGAATTGCTACACTAAGCAATAGGAAGCTACAGTATCTTGACGAAATGAGCCAGGCATGCAAAAACACGGACAGCGGTCAGCTGGGAGCCACAGCGGTGAGAAAAGAAAAAAACTAAGGTATATGTTCTAAGGAAAAGCAGTAGACCAAATTCTAGAAACAATTCAAGAGGAAATTCTCCGTTTGTATCACCAGAAACGAGCGATGATGGGGAAGAAGGATGGAAATGTGAGTTGTGCTGCAACACTTTTGTACGAAATGTCTAATTAAGTCAGACAATGAATATGAGGTTTTAACAAAATCAGATTCCATGTGGTTCTGTGTTCAATGCAGAGAGGACGTGATGAAAAACATAGCCATCAATCTCAAAATAGAAAAGAGATGTAGACAAATAATGAATGATTATGAAGAGAGAATATCGCATCTTGAGAAATTTGCCTGTGACAAGGAACGAGTCAGAGATATCATCAGGGAAGAAAATAAAAAAGAACAAGTAAAGATGACAAAACACGAAAGCCGATTTTCAGCACTAGAGGATGAAATGGCCAAAAAAGCTGACATAGCTACAGCAGAAACTTTGTTTGAGAGAAAAATGGGAGGTGAGGCTACAAATGAGCAATTAAATGAATTCAGAGAAAGTGAAGCTAGGAAACGGGATATTATTATTTTCAATATAGATGAATCTGAGCGAGCTGAAGCTGAAGATAGGAAAAGGGAAGACATAAAGGTAATGCATGACTTGTGTACAATAATGAACTCGACCCCAGAATCAGTTTTGTCGGTCACAAGACTAAGCAAACGGGTAATGAAATCAAAGGAGCTGAAAGATGATACCAACAACAGACCTAGGCCAATGAAGGTTGTGTTTGAAGACGAGAAGGCAAAAGGTATGTTCCTGAAGAATTTGAGAAAATTATCGTCTGCTGAGGAAAAGTACAAGAAAGTGAGCATCATGCATGATATTACATAAAAGAAAGGAGGATGAACAAGGAAAAGCTAGAAGCCAAGGCATGAAACGACAAAGAAAAGACGGGGGACTTCAAATACATAGCGAAGGGCCCTCCATGGGAAAGAAAGGTGGTAAGAGTAAAGGCACGAGTTTAAATATTGACATAGAAGAAAATACTGTAAATACGTTTAGTGTTTCTGCTGTAAATAAGTTAAATGAGTTAAATTGTTTGTATGCAAATTCAGATAGTCTACCAAATAAACTGGACGAATTGAAATCTCGTATTCAAAATTCACAGAAGCCTATTGGTATAACAGAAGTATACCCCAAAAACTGTAGATTTAAACCAGGAAAAGCTGAGCTCAATATAAACAGGTATGACTTGTTCATAAACGATCAACGCACTGACTCGATCAGAGGAACAGCACTATACATAAGGAGAGATCTAAAAGCAGAGGAAATAAAGGTAACAAATGGCTTTAAAGAGTGCACTATGGTTAAGATAAAAATGTATGGAAGGGATTCACTATTGATAGGATGTGTATACAAGAGCCCTAATAGCAGTCCAGAAAATATCTGTGAACTCTTAAGAATGATACCAGAAATCTCCAGTATGAGAAAGGATTATTCACACTTACTTTTGATGGGGGATTTTAACTATCCAAAAATTAACTGGGATTCATGGATGAGATGGATAAAGATGGAGAAAATTTCTTGGAATGTGTTAGAGATAGTTACTTGTTTCAACATGTACAAAACTTTACTAGAATCAGAGGATGAAATGAACCAAGCATCTTGGATCTGGTCTTCACAAATGATGAGGATATGCTGAATGGTATACAACATGACAGTCCATTGGGACATAGTGACCATTGTGTGCTGGATTTCAAATTCAAGTGTTACATAGAAAAATCAAATAGTAGAGTTGAAAAATGGAGTTATTTTAAGGGGAATTATGTTGAAATGGCAAAAGAATTGGACATCGAAAGGGGAAACATCCTACAAAGCAAAAACCCGAATGTTCTATTTAATGAGTTTCTGGGGCATTTCAACATAGCTAAGGAAAAGCATGTCCCCAGGGTAAATATGAGAATTGCAGGAAATGCAAGGAAACATAACTACATACCCTTGGATAACGAGACAGTTAAAGCAATAAAAGAACAGCACCGTAGCTGGCGAAGATATATGGAAACCAAAACCGATAATCAGTACAAGGAATATACCAGAAAGAGAAATTGTTTAAAAAATATTGTTGAAAAATGCGAAAGTACTTGTGGAGAAAAATATAGCCAGGAGCACGAAAAGCAATCCAAAACAATTTCGGAAATATGCAAATTCAAAACGTAAAACCCAATCAGGTATATCAGAACTTAGAAATACAACAGCTACCGGAGAGGACAAAACCACATCAACTGAGACTGAGAAAGCAGAAGCTCTAGCAAACTATTTTTCAAGTGTGTTTACCGAAGAGACAGATGGGGAAATTCCGGATACTGAGAAGTACAATATATTGCACCCATTTGTTGATAACCAATACAGTGAGGAAGAAGTCAAGAATCTGTCACAAGACCTTAATGCTAATAAATCCCCTGGGCCAGATGGATACACCCAAACGCACTAAGAAAGCTAAAAGAAGTTATAGCCAAACCTCTGACTATTATCTATAATGCATCAATGGAAACAGGAATAGTACCAGACTCGAGGAAGCTTGGAAAGATTACAGTGCTATTCAG